CCCCCCGCCCCCTGCCCCTAGCTGATACAGAGGCAGCCGGGGGTGGGGGGTGCTGCATGTAACCAAGAGTGTTAACAGATGAGCCCAGGCTTATTGGTGAACTATGTTCTCGACCACACAGTCACATCCCTATTGAGATGTCTGTAATGCCCCTCCTGACCAGTGTTCCCTGTAAGCTGAGTGCTTGGGCGGTCACGCAGGAAAGAGTCAGGTGCTGCCCAGCTGATTAGTAGAGCACCACAGCTGTCAACATGTCTCTCTACTGGTGGTACACATCCACACATGCCTTGGTGCACAGAACAAATCTCCGCACAAAACTCCACACAGAGATGGAAAATATTAGAGGGAACATTGCTGCTGACACAATAAGTATGCAAACCAGAAATGACGCTTTTAACAAAAATATCAGTAAGTTCCTGCTTTGTTGTACCTGGCACCGAATCATGACATGGGTTACTTTCGATTTCCCATCATTACTTTCGCCTTTATCATCTCCTGTCCGGACTGAAAGAACAAAGTCTCCTGGGTGGCTTTGACTCTCTCGCACAAGAAAGCTTCCATGTTTTCCTTTTTCTGTTAATAACTTATCAGCCTCTTTCCCAGAAAGGTGCCCATGAAACCACCTAAAATTTACAAGACGACAAAAATAGATGAATAGATAAAGTTGACCTTATCCTCACTATACCCAGGACTAAGCCCACCTGGTTTAAACAGCTATAACCACACGATTTCTCTAATCTGTCTGCATCTTCCTATATTTGTCCTAGTTCTAGGTGAAAATGTCTTTCCCTTTGCTTCCCTCAGTTCTAAACACCTCAGGTCCTTTCACCCCTGTCAGGTGGTGTCTCTAGTAAGGATGTAAAAGATTAGACAACTATCCGATAAGCAAATGCTTATCAGATAGTTGACAGGATAGTCAACTAGTCGCTTCCCCCCCAATTTGCTGCCTCTGTCAGAAAAGAGGCAGCATTTGACGGGTACTTCAAAGTGGCAGTGCCACCTGCAGCCCAGGGCCAGCTGGGTTGTCCCCAGGCTGCACCAGGGATTTTAAATATCAGTTAAAAGATTAGACAACTATCCGATAAGCAAATGCTTATCAGATAGTTGACAGGATAGTCAACTAGTCGCTTCCCCCCCAATTTGCTGCCTCTGTCAGAAAAGAGGCAGCATTTGACGGGTACTTCAAAGTGGCAGTGCCACCTGCAGCCCAGGGCCAGCTGGGTTGTCCCCAGGCTGCACCAGGGATTTTAAATATCAGTTAAATGAATAGTTGAGTAACCGCATGAATTCTTATTGGTTAGTTGACTATTCTATAGTCCCCGGGGGCGGGGCTGGCAGCACAGGGCCCTCTCCCCAGTCAGGGGGGGCCGGTGCGGGGGGGGGAGCCAGTTTAAAAACCAGCTCCCACCATGAGACCTGGCACGAGCCAGAACTGAGCTAGGCTGCCTGCCTGCCCAGCTCCCAATACACTTTAAATGCAGAGCTGCAGCAGAGGTACGTCCCGGAACTGTCGCAAGCTGGGACTGAGCCAGGCTGCTGGCCAACCTGCTAAAAAATGTACTGACAAGAGGGGGAGGGGAGGGAAATGGGTGTAGTCTATAGCATTAACGGATAAGCTTTTGCTTATCGGTTAATCAACTGCACGATTACATCCCTAGGCTGCATGAGGCATTTCAAAGCGGCGGAGCCCGGGGTCAGTCCCCAGCTGACTCCGGGCTCCATGCAGCGCTTTCGCCTTTGAAGTGTGGCAACAGCCTTAGGGCTGTTGCTACACTTCAAAGGCGGAGGCACTCTATCGACTAATCAAATAGTCGATGCAAAATGCATTAACTATTCGATTAGTCAATTACTCGATATTTAATGTCCCTAGTACAGAAATACTTTAGAAGTAATAAAACATTATGCGCAAAACAGAACTTTCATACACAGAGAAGTGTTTAAGATCCTTCAGTTCTTACACATGTAAACCTTGGAAGAATACCACCAGGAGAAAAGTCAGCAAGAACTGCAGGGAGTTCAAATAAAATTTTCAGTTACTGCAGTTAGACACTTCAGTTTCCCTTATGTATTTTTTGCCACTGCTTATTTTATGCACTTGCATGGATTTCAGTGCTCTCATGTTAACAAAAAGTTTTCCTTGCATGCTATGGAGTACAATTTCATCAGACCTTATGAAGCTGTGATTCTATTATTTTTCCCTGCTTTTTCACTTGTGAGAATAAACTGACATCTACTAGCCGTAATGCAGAATAATGGGTCAAGACTAATTCCAGTTTCCAAAGAGAACTAACTACATTTACTTCTGAAGAGTTCCTTTCCTGTACTTCCTTAGCAAGTATTCAAAGTCCTGAGATCCAACTGATTATTACTGTCCTATTAAAAATGTCAGTTTCAGTACTTTGTGTTTCTGCACTTGACTTCTGCTTTCTTAAGCCCACGTACAATACAGTGTTACAAGGATAAAATTATACTCTGAAATATATATTCAAGTCACTGCAGTAACACAAATAATTCTCTGAAACTTTTTGAAGTTTTTACAACCAATGAAATTTTCCAAGAAGAGTCAGAAAATGGGTTGCGTATTTTACTTTATTTTTTTATTAGTTACTGCAACGTGCACGAGAGATAATTAGAAAGTTACAGGGCCTATTCTCTTTGGCTGCATCTAGACTACATCCCTTTTTCGTAAAAATGATGTAAATTAGACGTATCGCAATTGCTAATGAAGCGGGGATTTAAATCTCCCATGCTTCACTAGCATAAACATGGCTGCCGCTTTTTTCCGGCACGGAGCTTTGCCGGAGAAAAGCACCAGTCTAGACTCTGATCTTGCGGAAAATAAAACCTTTTCCGAAAGATCCCTTATCCCTTATTTCAAGAGGGATAAGGGATCTTTCGGAAAAGGCTTTATTTTCCGCAAGATCAGAGTCTAGACTGGCGCTTTTCTCCGGCAAAGCTCCGTGCCGGAAAAAAGCGGCAGCCATGTTTATGCTAGTGAAGCATGGGAGATTTAAATCCCCGCTTCGTTAGCAATTGCGATACGTCTAATTTACATCCCTTTTACAAAAAAGGGATGTAGTCTAGACGTAGCCTTTCATCCAGATCCTCCCACACTTACTCATGTTGAGTAACAACTTATTTTGCAAATAGTTCCGCGAAAATTTGCTGGATTACTAGTAAGATAAGGCACTGCCATCCTGCTTTTACTGATCAAGGAAAGTCCTTAATGTTAATAGGAATTACATGCACGTGGAAAGGAGAACAGACACCTTCATATTTTTCACCACTATTTCTCTCTCTAACCTTTCAGATGTAGGATCAGCACAATTCAGTGGATATTTTAACTCTATTACGTCTCCATTCTTTTCTTTGAGCTGTCCATGGTGTTCCATGTAATACTGGACTAACTCAGCCAACGTGGCAAATTTTTCTCCTCCATACAGGTCATAGTAGTCGCCTGTGTTCTGGATCTTGATGTGTGTGACAGCTCCATTCCGTCTAATGTTCATTAGAGCAATTAAAAAAATAAAAAAAGTTAGTCAATTTCAAACCAATCACTTTAAATTCCACTCTACAAGTTTAGAATTTTAGCAATTCAGCTTTGCACGTCACTCATGTTCCAGCGAAAGAATTGCAGCATATCTAAATTACTGCACACTATGGGTATGTCTACACTACCCCGCTAGTTCGAACTAGCGGGGTAGTGTAGACATACCCTATGAGTGAAGCAACTATACGTCTTAATAACAGGGCAATGAAACAGCATCAAGGATTACAAGAGGAAGTGGCTGTATAACAGTTACAACTGAAATAAAGTTTATTTGATTCCATAATTACTTAATTGCTTCACTGAACCAAAACAGTCTTCATAATTCCACAGGGTATATTTACATTGCAAAAGATGACCAATGGCAGCAAGTCTCAGAGCCCAGGGTCAAATGACTCATGTTGTGGGGGCTCACGCGAGGGAGCTAAACACTAAGGATCTTACCTATTGGGTGTCACCGAGGTGGGGGGAGCCAGCAGGCCCTGCACCCCCATCCGCAGCCAGACATGAGACTCAGCCAGCAGGTAGAGCAGAAGGGACACAGTGAAGCAGAGGCTCATTGTTAACATAGGAACCAGGAGCAGTCAGTGCAATCCATCTTGGGGAGAAGGGGCCCTGGCCCCTTTGTCCCCCTCCTCCAAGCCCCCTGCTTGCATCCTAAGCCAGTTGAGAGCAACCCTAACATCCCCAGCAACCAGTCCCTAGCCCTGCAAGTAGCCCCCACCTACTCCTTTGTCCTGCTTCCCGGGCCCAAGGTGTTCTCCCACTCCAGCTCTTCCTACATACCTTCCCCCAGGAGCCTCACACCCAAAGATCTCATCGGACGCTGGACACCACACACACACCCCCACCCCACCCTGGCCAGCAGCCTGGCTCAGCCCTGGCTCATGCTGGGTCCGGGACCTACCTTCGCTGGGACTCTGCATTTAAAGTGTATTAGGAGCTTGGAGGGCAGGCAGTCTGGCTCACACCAGGTCTGGAAGCTCAGCTCCCACCTCCACTCCCAGACAGGAGCTGCTGCCACTCCATGCTGCTGCCTCTATATCACAGGCAGCAGACCCTGTCCGTGGGCAGCTGGTCTGCAAGGAGAGTAGTTTTTAAACGGGCTCCGCTCACTGACCAGCTCCTGCCTGGTGCTCCACATTGCTGTCTCTGATACAGCAGCACGGAGTGGCAGGGGACTCCTCAGTAGTGGGGCCGGAGTACATTGGCTACTGGCCCCACCCCCAGGGCCTATAGATTAGTCAAATAACCGATAAGAATTCATGAGGTTAATCAACTATTCAGTTAACTGATATTTAACATCCCTACCTAAGATATGTAGTAATGGAAGAGAAGTACTCTCACGAGATAGCAGTGCCCTTCCATGAACTCAGTGGCTATACTATACTAATATATTAATCCACATCTAGCTGATTGATATCACACTACTCAATTAATTCCAACTTCAAAGAAAAATAGCTAATCAGGCAACTAATTTCCCCCCCTTCTCTCTCAATGGATAAAAGGCCTTTCGATATAGAATCATAGGACTGGAAGGGACCTCGAGAGGTCATCGAGTCCAGCCCCCCGCCCTCAAGGCAGGATCAAGCTCTGTCTACACCATCCCTGACAGATGTCTATCTAACCTGTTCTTAAATATCTCCAGAGAGGGAGATTCCACCACCTCCCTTGGCAATTTATTCCAATATTTGACCACCCTGACAGTTAGGAATTTTTTCCTAATGTCCAATCTAAACCTCCCCTGCTGCACTTTAAGCCCATTACTCCTTGTCCTGTCCTCAGAAACCAAGAGGAACAAATTTTCTCCTTCCTCCTTGTGACACCCTTTTAGATATTTGAAAACCGCTATCATGTCCCCCCTTAATCTTCTTTTTTCCAAACTAAACAAGCCCAGTTCATGAAGCCTGGCTTCATAGGTCATGTTCTCTAGACCTTTAATCATTCTTGTTGCTCTTCTCTGTACCCTTTCCAATTTCTCCACATCTTTCTTGAAATGTGGCGCCCAGAACTGGACACAGTACTCCAGCTGAGGCCTAACTAGTGCAGAGTAGAGCGGCAGAATGACTTCACGAGTTTTGCTTACAACACACCTGTTGATACAACCTAGAATCATATTTGCTTTTTTTGCAACAGCATCACACTGTTGACTCATATTCAACTTGTGGTCCACTATGACCCCTAGATCCCTTTCTGCCATGCTCCTTCCTAGACAGTCGCTTCCCATCTTGTATGTATGGAACTGATTGTTCCTTCCTAAGTGGAGCACTTTGCATTTCTCTTTATTAAACCTCATCCTGTTTACCTCTGACCATTTCTCTAACTTGCTAAGGTCATTTTGAATTATGTCCCTATCCTCCAAAGAAGTTGCAACCCCACCCAGTTTGGTATCATCTGCAAACTTAATAAGCGTACTCTCTATCCCAATATCTACATCATTGATGAAGATATTGAATAGTACGGGTCCCAAAACAGACCCTTGCGGAACTCCACTTGTTATCCCTTTCCAGCAGGATTTAGCACCGTTAACAACAACTCTCTGACTACGGTTATCCAGCCAATTATGCACCCACCTTATCGTGGCCCTATCTAAGTTATATTTGCCTAGTTTATCAATAAGAATATCATGCGAGACCGTATCAAATGCCTTACTAAAGTCTAGGTATATGACATCCACCGCTTCTCCCTTATCCACAAGGCTCGTTATCCTATCAAAGAAAGCTATCTGATTAGTTTGGCATGACTTGTTCTTCATAAACCCATGCTGGCTATTCCCTATCACTTTATTACCTTCCAAGTGTTTGCATATGATTTCCTTAATTACCTGCTCCATTATCTTCCCTGGGACAGACGTTAAACTGACCGGTCTGTAGTTTCCTGGGTTGTTCTTATTCCCCTTTTTATAGATGGGCACAATATTTGCCCTTTTCCAGTCTTCTGGAATCTCCCCTGTCTGCCATGATTTTTCAAAGATCATAGCTAAAGGCTCAGATACCTCCTCTATCAGCTCCTTGAGTATCCTGGGATGCATTTCATCAGGACCTGGTGACTTGCTGACATCTAACTTTCCTAAGTGATTTTTAACTTTTTCTTTTGAAGGGGGCCACTTTACAAATTCCAGAAGTGGCCACGGGCCAACCTGGAAGGAGCGGGGTTGAGAGCTACCCTTCTGGAAGCTTTGCTTGGCCTGGGGTCCCTGCCCCCTGACTTCCGGCCAATGGAAGGGACCTGGAGCAGAGGGGAGGGTGCTGGGGGCTAGCCTCCTCCCAGAGTTGTCTGGAGTGGAAGCTTAGATTTCATATAACAAGGATTGCAGCTCCTGGCTCCCCACTGCTAACCTGTTGCCTGGCAGCTGCCCGGTCGGCACAAGCCCTTTGAAGAGAAGCAGTTGAAAGAGCTCGTGTCTCTGGCTCCCTAGCAACACGCTAGAGGCGCCGGGAGCAGCGAGCCCTTTTAAGGGCTTCTATTTAAAGTGCCGGCCCCTTTCCCTGCACTTGTCAGGCAGCATTGCCTAGCAGCCCCAGGGAACATGAGAGGGAAGGCGCCAGCCCTTTAAATAGAAGCACTTAAAAGGGCTCACAGCTCTAGAACGTTGCTAGGGAGCCAGAGGCAGAAGCCCTTTCAATTGTTTCTATTTAAAGGGCTTGTGCCTTCCCCATGGCTGCTAGGCAAGGTGCGGGGAAGACGCAAGCCCTTTAAACAGAAACAGAAGAGCTTGCGCCCCTCTCCCGCTCTGAGGCAATGTGCTAGGGGGTGGGGCCTGCAACTGCCTCCTGGGCTGGATCCAGCCTGCTGAAAAGCTTTTGCCCACCCCTGGTATACACAATTCTCATGAGGGACAAAAGTGTTTTGCAACTACAAGACGCCTCACTGGAATTCTGTGCTCTCTCTTTCTCCCGAGTGGAGTCCAGCTCTGCCCAGTAGAGCAGTCAGGTTCTAGGAAACACTGGACAGACTCCCAACTACCACTTGCAAAGAACAACCCAAGGCATCCTGAAATGCAGGGGTGGGGAACCTTGTTAGCATCAGGGGCCACTGACCCCCATAGTCGGGGGCCACACACAACTGAGAAGAAAAAAAAAAAGAGATGTGGCCCCCGACTGAGGAGAAAGACAGTAGATTTTGTGCTCCAGCTCTACAGGGGAATGGGGGGGAGGGCATGTTGGAGCACCAGCGCAGGATTCCCAATGCCTATGGAGCCGGATCCAGGCAAGCTGCTTAAGGGAAATCCCCAGACTGGGGACCCATTTTAAGACAGGTTTGCTCCTTACAATCAGTCACGGACAGCCATTTATGTGATCAATTTGCCTCTACCTGCACTAATGGGGGGGCAGGAGGTGTTGCCTTATAAATTAAAAATGAACACACTTGGATTGAGGTGGAGATGGACATAGGAGACGGAAGTGTTGAGAGTCTCTGGGTTAGGTTAAAAACAAAGGTGATGTCATGCTAGGAGTCTACTACAGGCCACCTACCCAGGTGGAAGAAGTGGATGAGGCTTTTTTTAAACAACTAACAAAATCATCCAAAGTGCAGGATTTGGTGGTGATGGGGGACTTCAACTATCCAGATATATGTTGGGAAAATAACACAGCGGGGCACAGACTATCCAATAAGTTCTTGGACTGCACTGGAGACAACTTTTTTAATTTTAATTTTTTATTTCAGAAGGCTGAGAAAGCTACTGGGGGCTTTTTTGAGCTTTGCAAACAGGGGCAGCTGAGAGGGAGTTTTGTGAGGGGGAGTTGGAAGGGGGCGAGATACATTTAGAATCATAGAGCTGGAAGAGACATCAGGAGTCATCAAGTCCAGCCCCCTGCCCAAAGCAGGACCAGTCCCAACTAAATCAACCCGGCCAGGGCTTTGTCAAGCCAAGGCTTAAACACCTCTAGGGATGGAGATTCCACCCCCTCCCTGGGGAACCCATCCCAGTGCTTCCCCACCCTCCTAGTGAAATAGTTTTTCCTAATATCCAACCTGGACCTCCCCCACTGCA